ATGTGGGTTATATGTCTAAGAAATCGTTGAAATTGGTTCTAAATCGAAAACTCCTTCATTCCGTCATCCGATGATCTGTTCTGTTTATAAGAAATCATACAAATGATGGCATAAGTTTAAGAATCTAATGTCTACCATCCTTCCTCTCCTTTCTTCAAACTTGAATATTTTTCGAGGCCTTTTTCGAGATAAGTCTTGGAAAAGATCACTGCTATCTCTCTAAAGAGTGGTGGAGCTATAAAATGATCTAAATATATTCCTTTAAGTGATATATCACCAAAAAACGGATACTTTTCATTTCTATCTTCTACGATTTCCTATGGAAGGCATAAGCTTCCTCTCCCTTCTTCAATCCTCTTTAAAGAGTGGTGGAGCTATAAAATGATCTAATTATATTTTTTTTAGGGTTTTTTACATGAGAAACGCATATTTTTTCCCACCATTTCCTATGGAAACCCTTTCCCATAAAGACTATCATAATATTCACAATATATATGACCAGAAATTAAGCTAAACTTTAGATCTAATACCATTAAACTCCACAGAAACTATATATCACATCAAACCCTTCAGTTTCTTCCATTTTCAAGTCCTTCTCTACTTCTTCCACTTCGGATTCTTGCACTTTCTCCACTTAGACCCCTTTTCAACCTCCAAGCCTATTCCTTCTCTCCCTTAACAAACCCTTTCTCAAATCGAAAACCCCCCTCTCTACAGGGTACGCAAAAGACTGAGGCAATAGCAATGACAGAATCCAACAAAAGAGAATACCCCGGAAGAGGCCCAAGCCCAAAACCCAAACTCAGACACGAAACGACGGACAGACAGACACGTACCCAGATCCAGGACGAAAGCCAAAGAAATGACTTGGCCATTGGCCATTTTCTATGGGTTTACTTTTTGGCCACGATACAGGCACGGGCACTGGCACTGGCACTGGCCGACACGGGTCTTTGTAGGCTTTAAGACTGCGACGGGTGCTGCCTCAGTCCTCAGTCCTGCCACCTTTTGTTGCGCTTCGGTCATTTGTGGCAGCCCCGTCCACCACCTGCGCCGCCATCAATTGCAACCACAAAATGGCAAAACAATCAACAAGCAACGCGACGGGTGTTGCAAGATTCCAGGCAACCAGGCTCCCGGTGTGGCTCCTAACCCCTGCCACCCCACTCGTTTCCGCCCCACACCCCCTCTGGTCAGCCGCAACGTGTTGAACGAGTGAGGTAAGCGAAATTGTTTGCCCCCGAAAACTGAAAGACGAAGGAGCAGGACAAGGGGCAGGGGGTGTGGGGCGGGCAGCAGTTGGATTCCGAGAAACCCCCGGGAGTAGGGAATGTTGAGGGTTTGGGGGGGTTGGGGGGTTGCCTGGCAATTGCTTAGATTGCTGCCAGCCCGAAATTGGATAGTTAGTCAAGTGAAATATGAGAGACTATCCAACGGTGGGGGAAGCCGAAGAGCCATCAATATAAGAGGGAAGAGCACTTTAAGGTTTTTCCAGTGTATAGGGAAATTTAGAGTTTACTTTTCCTTACCGTTTCCCGGGTAGAAGGTGCTTCTCGAGGCATCGGAGTAGTCCCTAAAACATACAAATAAACGAAAATGGAGTCCCAAGGCCTGAATGGATACCAATTCTGTAATATTCCCAAACAAAGAGGTGTCTCTCAAGCCAAGCTCCACAGCTACTGCCTTCTAGTATCATGAGGAACAACATTTAGAAGATATTCCCCTAAATATTCCGTATAAATCTCTCTTTAAACACTCTCCTTCTTTGTATCTTTCTTGTAGCGTCTTTTATGTGAGGAATGCAATGGAAACTCCTTTAATATCTATTATTGTTGCTCTTTCCACCTCCTTTCAGTGGAGTTTTGCCCAATTTTAGTTGCCAAAACTAGATATCAAAAAGATATCTGATAATTTGAGTCTTTCCACTTTCCTTTATATCCCTCATTATTCGGCCATTTTCAGCAGCTTAAAATCCCCAAACCAGAAACCCATTTGTACACGGCAATCTAAGCAAATGGTTTTGTCGAGCTTAATTTCTAGTTTCTAACCTGTTTGGAAGTCCCTCTCCTCCCCCTCCCCCCTCCCACCCGACTCTCTCGCTGAATGGCTAATCCCAACAGACTTTGGTGGAAAAGTTGGCTGCTTTTACGGCTTCACACTGGCGGATAGTGGATGGCGGATAGAGGAAGGCGGATAGCGGAAGGCGCCGCAAGGAAATTCGGTCAAAGGGAGTTTTCGGATGCGCTGATGATGACGATGATGATGACGATGATGATGATGAAGTTCTGTGGCCCAGGGAGTTGGATTCACACCCTCGGCCGGAAGTAGTCTCAATTGTTGTTGTCTGCATTGTGAAGGAATTCCATTCTGCTGGCAACTCTGGCAATTGACAATAGTTTCGCCTCAGAGTTTTGTTGCGCAAAAGGCCAGCAGTTGCACTTGACTGGCAATGAATGAGTGTACACTGTACATATAATCCCAAAAAGGAAAACCCAAGTCGGAAAACAGCGTTAGGGTAGGGCAGGGCAGTGCAGGGCAGGGCAGGGCAGTGCAGGGCAGGGCAGGGACTTCGGTAATTGTAGATTCCCGGCTTTACCGACTTTTGCTTTTTGTTTTTGGCAATTACTTCCATCGACCTCGGGGGAGGAGAAGGAGGGGGAGTAGGGCTAGGGGGAGTTAGAAGTTTCATAATGAGCGAACACATTCAATTCTCATTTAGATTTTCGACAATGAAATTGCCTCCGAATAGGGCCATTCGCAGTGGGAGTATTGGACGATTGCACTCTGCCCTCCATCAATTTATGGAAATTTAATAACGCTAAAAGTACACTCAGAGAAAATAACAATAAAATTAATTATAATTAATTCTTAGATCTACGAAAATATAAACCAATAGAAAAGATAGATCGATGTACACTGCGCGTCATAGGTTAGACGCAACAAATTTTTTTTTCCTTTTTCAAATAAATTGTGATAAAAGTGATAGCATGCTCTTCACATGAAAATATTTGAATTAAATAAATTGTATATTTCATATTTATATTAAATATATTTCATATTTTAATTAAGTAAATTTCCAAAAAAAAAAAAATATTTTTTATTCATTAAAAATTGTATTTTATCTAGATTTATTAAAAAAAACTTAGATTAAATATTAAATATTTTTTGATTCATTAAAAAGTGTCTAGTATTTATTTTTGTTTATTTGTATGCTATATTTTATTTCTTTAAAATTAAAAACAAATTATTCAATTTGAATATGTCCACTATTTCTCCGAGTGTAATTATGGGTGACCTTTTGTTAAGGTTTTTTTTCTTTTATTGAAACGATATTGTAATGCATTCACTGCACAGAGCAAAAGTTTAGTTTCAGTAGCAAAAACTAATAAACGACACGAAAAAAAGGAGTTCCGCGAGTTACCATCGCGGGGGGGCGGGTATGGATAGGTGGGGGGGGGCTTTATGGCGGGTATAGTTCATAGACAGGGGGTGGAGGGGTGGAGGGTTACGAGGGGTGGCACAATGGCTGCAATGGCAGCTGTTGCCGCGCTAAAACTTGGAGCATCAAGTGGAAAACAAGTGGACAGGCAGCTGATGTTGACACGGACTTTTTGCATGCCCCACAGCGGACGGTGGGGCGGTGCTTGGACAGTTTTAGTGTCAAGCCCTGTAACGGTAAATTGCATACGAAAAAAAAAACAATAAAGAATAGAAAAAGTCACCGCTCGAGGGCGACACCGTACAGGCAATCAAACTCTGGCAGGAACACCAGCTGGAGCCGACTGTGGAGGCGGGGGGGGCAAGCAGGGGGGGAAGCCGAGGTCTTTTTCCTGCTGCAAGTTTTTCCTGCAATAATCCGGGGCACTGGGAAATATGAATAGAGCCACTCGTGAGTAAGTGAGTCGCAGGGAGTCATGAATATATTTTGGGCGGGTGGTGGCGCAGAGAGTGGTCAAATGGTCCAAAGGTGAGGATGATTGAAGCGCTGTGGCATGATACTTTGACGTAAGTGACTCCTGGAAGAGGATAAGAACAATGCCAGCGAAGGGAGGACAATATATGGGTCATATTTTGACCGCAGATTAGCCAGGACATGAGCCACTTTGGAGACCATCTTGGACAGTCTTTAAACATGCAGATTGAGGCCTGCCCTTTTCAATGGAAAGCCCTTTGAAGTCTGAGTGGTATATTGGGATAGTTTAATGGCTGGTGTAACCCATATCATATTTTCAGAATTACTTGCAGAGATCTTGGGTTCCCCTATAAATAGACCCGCGCTACTTTACTCGATCAAATGGTTGGAAAGAGTTTGTGAAATTAAGTTTTCATGGATTTCAAATTCAAATTCAAGTTGTTTCTGGGATGTACCCCAATAAATCCCCAATGGGTTTGTTCGCCCCAGAACTCCCTACATTTCACAACAAATTTTCATATAAAAAGCTTCCATTTGAGTCACATTCTATAAATATTAATAGCTGTATAACATTAGACCTTGAAACTAGACGATTTTATAAACATTTAATCTGGAATGTTAAAGATTTTACCTAGAAAAGGTAGAATTCTATCGATAAAGCAGCGATTTAGGTTCAATTATAGCTCAAATCTACGCAAGAATTCATTTGGAATCCATAAAAAATACCTAAAAGCAATTGATCTGTTATCGATACGGCATATATCGATAAATAAGCGTTCATATATATGTTTTTCGGTGCGTTCCACAATCGTACTCTTCTCCAGTGGGTTTCCAATGATTCCTCAATGGTTTCTCAATGGTTTCCATAGCTATATGCTGCTCTGGTACCTCTTATTTCCCTTTCGCAAACTTTGACACCCGATACCTATCGATAAGGCCTCCCTGCCATCCTGGCAACTCTTTTTTCCAACCCAATCGCATCAAGCCATTCTTTAAACTTCAAAAATGCCTTCGTATTGTAACACACACGAACAATTCCGTTGTGGTTTGTCTATTTAGTCAGTTGATAATTTTTTTTGTAGTACAAAATTAAAACACACGAAACCCCAAGTACTCCCGAAATTATTCTGTCTTCAACGCGGACCAACGCGCGAGGTTCGACCAAAGGATCCAAGGCCCCAATAAGAAATACCCAAATTGGAGGTTGCAGATTCTGGAGGTGCTGCGATCGAACCCCCAGAAGAACAGCTTGTAGAATAGTAGAGCAAAATTTGTGTCTGTCCCGTCCGGAAGCCGTGTGGTCCTGTAAATGGGTTGTGCAGATGTTTACCAAATTAATGATTGATCAAATGGACAGAAAGGTCCAGCAGCAGCAGCAGCATCAGCAGCGCCAGCTGCAGCACACAAAGGCGCAGTTCCCGGCATGGAAGGAAACGCCATCCGCCATGGTGGCCACGGGGAAGAGTGGTTCGCTGACGAAAGCCTCCGCAGCCACGACCTCGACATCGGGCGCGAAGAGTAAGCTGAGGAAGAAGTGCGTGCGACCCTGCCCCAATCCCAATCCCAATCAGAGTCCCAAGGAGGAGGCCAAGCGCATCGGGGAATCGGACGACCTGCCCGATGCCAATACGGGCCGGATGAACCGGTACTACGGCGGCAAGAGCCCGACGGGGGCCGGGGCCGGGGCCGGGCCCGACCTCACCCTCGTGTCGCACAATCTGGAGGACAAGGTGTCGAAGATTGCGCGCAGGAACGCGCTCAAGGAGCTGGCCGCCATGCAGACGCGGCACGAGCAGTCGACGGACAAGAACGAGGACGCCCTGCGGGAGCTGCAGAAGAGCATACCGGAGATCAGCAAGATCTTCGACGTGCACTGCCGCATCGGCAGCGGCACCTTCAGCAGCGTCCTGCTGGGCACCCTGCAGCGGGAGCGCTGCCTCGGCGAGACCAGTCGCCGGCGGTTCGCCATCAAGCACCACAACCCCACCAACCATCCGGAGCGCATCCTGCGCGAGCTGGAGTGCATGTTCCGCATCGGGGGCGTCGACAACTGCATCGGCATCAACTGCGTGGTGCGCTACAACGACAACGTGGCCTTTGTGATGCCCTACATGAACCACGACCGCTTCCACGACATCTACCGCAGCATGGGCCTGCAGGAGGTGCGCAACTACATGCGCAACCTGCTGATCGCCCTGCGGCACGTGCACAAGTTCAGCGTGATCCACCGGGACGTGAAGCCGAGCAACATCCTGTACAACCGGCGCACCGGCAAGTTCCTGCTCTGCGACTTTGGGCTGGCCCAGAAGATCGACGCCGACGGCAGCATTGTGCAGGCCAACGAACTGAGCAACGCCGCCACGCTGGCGCTCATGCGGGACATGGAGGCGGCCCGCAATCTGATGATGCAGGACGGGAACAGTGCCCAGGACGAGGTGCAGGAGTATCTCGCCTGCAAGCACGAGCAGGAGGTCTCGCTGCGCCGCGTCCGAGCCCTGGGCGGTGGTGTCGGCGTCGATTATTCGCTGATCAATCAGAGTCCCTTTGACGTTCAGGTCGCCGCCTTGGCCAAGAAGGACGTGGCCGCCCAGCGGGCGGACACCCAGCGGCTGATCAATCGCCTGCGCTTCGTCAATCCGAACGCAGATCCCAACCACTACGTGTCGCCGACGAACACCAACAAGAAGGAGGTGCATGCCTCAAGGGCGGGCACTCCGGGCTATCGGCCGCCCGAGGTCCTGCTGCGGTGTCCTGTGCAGACCACGGCCGTGGATGTCTGGGCGGCGGGGGTCATCATGCTGGCCACCCTCTCCTCGCTGCATCCGTTCTTCAGGGCGCCCAACGACTGTGCCGCCCTCTCGGAGATCATCAACGTCTTCGGCGACATTGAGGTGCGCAAGACCGCCTTCATGATGGACCGCCTGGTGCTGCTCACCCAGAAGATGACCGCCCTGGATCTGCGACGTCTGTGCATGCGTTTCCGCCTGGCGGACCACTTCCTCTCGCCGGCGGTGCAGCGTCGCCATCGCCGCGCCGATGGCACTGTGGAGTCGTGCAAGAGCTGCGAGCAGGCCACCTACAACTGCATCTGTCGCCACAGCAGCCACAAGATCGAGACGTACGAAGGTCTGGACATCTATCCGGCCCATGCCTACGACCTGATGTCCCGCCTGCTGGAACTGAATCCCCAGAAGCGCATCTCCGCCGACGAGGCGCTCAAGCATCCCTTCTTCAACGACCAGCATCGCATCGTGTCGGGCATCTCGCTGCAACAGCAGCACCAGCAGCGTCTGCTGCAGCAACAACAACAACAGCAACAGCAGCCGGGACCATTTCGTGTGAGGGAGACCCTGCCATCGGCGGCTGCCCGCACCCTCAAGCCGTACATCTGTCAAACGCTGGGCGGCATCCAAACCAAAGTGGAGGTCCTTGCCAAATCGGGAGCCGCTCCTGATGCTCCTGCCTAAAGAAAAGACCATTCGATTCCAACAACACAACACGAATCAACATGAAAATGTTCTCCAAAATTTTCATCGCAAATATATAGTATTTTTCATATTATTCCTTGTTTCATTTCACCAGCTTTTTGGGTCACAGCCACATCATATTTATTTCTATCTCTATTTATATTCTGCTTCCTGAATTTTCTTTTTCAATTATTTGCATTAAATTCATTGTTCTTATTGTTTGCAAAATCACCTTCTACACCTTTCACCCATAACCATTCATTCATTTTGTGGTTTTGGGGTTTGCTTTGACAAGCATTTTTTTGATACCCTCTTAAAAAAAAAGGCGAAGAAAAGCCTTTTCGGCCAGAACATATTCCATAATGCGCTCAAAAGCACGCTACAGGTTCCCACATCGCTTCATAATGCGCTCAAAAGCATGCTACATATTCCACATCACTTAATATTGCGCTCAAAAGCATGCTACAAATTCGTACCTCACTTTTATCCACCAAAAATGTTCATTGCCTACTTTTGAGCGGCAAGTGCAATAAGACTGGAATCTTCTTCGACCGCCTTAAGAGGGTATGCCGAAGTTCCTTTAATATTCTATCTAAGAGCAATTTTCCCAATTGATTTTTTTGGTTGCTGCCGCTCCTCGTCTCTCCCCTGCCCTGGGATTTCTTATCAATTTGCATTATTGACGGTTACAACTTTTGTTTGTTCTTGCAACCAGAAAAAACAACAAACAGACACGACATGCCCATCGAGACAGAGACAGCGACAGAGAAAAAGGTTATGAGAATTTTTGCTTTCAGCTGAATGGAGATTTCTCTTCTTTTTATTTTTTAGACATTTTGTTTTTGTCTGCTGCCAAGAAATTCATGGCTCAATGCGAATTATGTTGACAATTTCATTCTGTGAACAGCACAAAAAAAAAGAAGAAGAAGCAGAAAATCAGATAAGCAAGGGGTACATATATCTGCATATATAGAGAGGTAAAGGATTCTGGCAAGTAACCAACAGAAAAAAAAAGCAAAAACTTCCCTCCATCTGTCGACGCTGCAAAATAGTTTATTAAAAAGTTTTCTTTCGACTTATTTTCGTCAATTTCTTTGGCTGAGTGAAAATTTGGCGCTCAAAAGTATGCTGCATAAAAAGCTTCGTTCCATGCGAAGTCGAACAAATTTCATTGCATACTTTCGAGCTGCTAGAGAGAATTGAAGACAGATCCGAGAACTAAACTTTTAATGGCATCTAATAGATTCCATCCCAGTATAACTGCTACTCCTGTTTCAGCGCCGTTTTAGCAGCTGTCTAGCATCTTCCTTACATCAGTTTACACAGCGTACCGTTCTGCATCCTTTGGACAGACACAAAAGGCTTTTAGGCGCTTCGTTGGGGATCAGTGCAGCCACCTCGTTTAGCCAATAACAACTGTGCCGCACAGACACACACACACAGAACGGCTCCCCGGAGAGCCATAAACATGACTCTGGCTCATTCGTGGATGTGGATGCCAGGATGCCTCCTCCTCGACCACAAAAGCCGCGTGCGCAACTCGCCGGACACAGTGCGGCTTATCAACGCTGGCAAACACACACAAAAAAAGAATGGAGGAAAACCCCTGGAAAAGTAAGGGAATAAGAACTAAAGAGGGACCGACACCGACCTGCTGCTCCTCCAGTGTTTGGAGGAGTGAAGTCCTCTTCCGCTGCGTCCCGTTTGGCGCTTTATGGCACATGATAGATTAGTCCCGGCCGCAGGTGTAACCAGTTGTGGCTTTTTCGGTGGCTTTGTCCGGTGTAAAAGGGCTCTTGCTGCCCACCCAAACCATCCGCTGAGATACTCGGCGTCCACGTAATTAAGTAATTAGAGGAGGCAACACTTTAAGCCTTGAAGGTACGGGTACGGGTATGGGTCTACGTCTGAGTCCTGGGTTGATGTGTTGGCCTTAAATCTGCATTCGCTCAAAGGGCGGATGGTTGGATAACCATTTTGCCAGCCACAAAGCTGGTTCCTGGATCCTGCACTTTAAAGAGGGCAAAAATTGAAAGCAAATACCGCAGGGTGCAATGTCCTGGAACCGCAAACTCCATTTGACTGTTGACTCCTGGTATATGTATGTGCCGTGATGGTAGCTTCCTTCCAGCTCCAGCTCCGGCTCCTGCTCCTGCTCCGGCTCCTGGTGCTGCTTCTGGTGCCTCCCGTTCTTTCCTGCTCCGGTTCCTGCCCCTCGCCCCCCCCTGGCAGCCACCATTCATCTGTCTCGGTGGCGCATTTCTGCTGTCAGTTGGTTGTTTGTTTGTCCGCCTGTCGCGCTTTGTTTGCTTTCCGCATGCGTTGCATGCATCCACCTAGCCGTCATCTATGCCACACACACACACAAACACACACACACACACCTCCATCTCCCTATATGACACACACACCCCTCTCTATTAAAGGCAATGCTCATCATGAGCTGCCACATCGATGCTGATGATGATTCTGGCGCTAAAGCTAGCAGCAGCTGCTGACATCATTCGCTCCGTGTCGGGGTCACCAAATGAAGAATGATGGACACACGCGGACACACTGCAGCATCAGAAAGAGACAGCAAAGCTATCAGAGGTAGAGAGAAGGGATTCCTTGGAATATTTTGTCATCTTCAATAGTCCTGCAAATGGATTTTCATGCATCCCATTGCCGAAGGTGCCACTTCATGCATTTGAACCACGACCTGCATTCTTTTTCAAGTTTAAAGTTAATTGGAAATTTTTAGCAATTTCCCTAGCTTTCCACCTATGATTTTTCTCGTCCATCCATCGCTTCCATTGCCTTTTTGTGGTTGTTGGCCAATCGTGAAATTTGCTTTGGAAAATATGGATTTATGTCAGCAGCAGCAGCAGCAGAGGAACCCAGCAGCCCGACAATGTGTCCACACTGCAATCACTTTTTGGCGCCCTTCTAGCCATACACTGAAGAAAAATGAGGGTATGCGGCATAGGATATGGGGGAAAAGCATTAGTAGAACACGCCACAAAGAATACTTAGTGAAATAGGCTCATGGGAATGTTAGTTGAAGTTGGTTGCCGTCCGCTGTGGTGAGGACCATCCAATGCTCTCCCTAGAAAGAGATGGCCTACGTTTAACGTTCTGCCTTCCTCGTTTCTTATTTCTCTAGCTGTCACATGTTTATTCGTCAGCATTGAAGAAGAAGGCAATGAGAAATCGTGCGCTATAAAACCCCTTTCGACGACGTTTAACAAATGGATGGTCCTGGAAAGAGAGCAGATATGGGGAAGGCACCACCTAGTAAGAAATTTCCCCATAGCCACGCTCTTTGAACACCTGGCTTTCGAGCACAGCAGCGCGCTTTCTAGTGCCTACTTTTAGGAGACCAAGCAATGATTTGATTTTCTAAGATAATCCACAGAAATCCAACATTTATTTCCAGTGTGTGGTACACCCCTCTTCTAACTGTCACCTCTCCATCCCAACCACCCCCCCTGCTAGTCTCTCCCTCTCTTCTGGCATGAGTATCCTCTCTCTTTACGGGTTGTCAGCTGCTGGCTGTTGGGCTGTTGGCAATGCATCACTGATTATGAAAAGCTTGGCTAAAAGCTGGACTCATGATATATTGCTTTTGTTGTTGCACCATAATAGTGTTGTTGTTGTTGTTGTTGTTGTTCTAGTTGCAGGTGTTGTTGCTGCTGCTGTTCGTGCTGCTGCTGGTGTTGCTATTTTGCGGTATCATTCCCGCTGATGCGACTGCCAGATGTTAACGGCATTCTATTGCCATCATCGTATCGCACGTAAGCGACACGACAGACAATAATGAAGTTTTATGCTTTGCCACCTGCAGCATACATATAGGAGAGACACAGAGAGAGGGAGAGGGAGAGAGAGAGAGAGAGGGTGTGGAGCGTGCAACAAGAAGAACAACAGCCAGCAGCCACAACGGCGCAATCAACTGAAAAACGCTGGCGATTTCTTTTTGTGACTTTTATGTGGAAAGATAAGTATGTGCCACACGGTGTTCCGCCGTCTGTGGAAAAGCTGAGCTGTCTGGGAGTTCGTTAAGGGAAACCTCATCAATAATGCTCGCAAACTGGTCAGAGATTCTGCAGAGGCAGTGCAGTGGAGGAGGCTAGGGGGCCGTAGGGGTAGAACGAATGAAGGACAGAGAGATATATTTCCAGATAATGAGAAATAATCATCCGTGGGTGTGTGCGAGTGTGAGTGTCTGTGAGAACTATGAGACTATGACAGTTTAAAGAATCTCTTTACGTTCTATGACAATGAGGTTTTTATGGGAATCGAAAGACATGGGGCATAAAGAGTGAAAAAGACTCTCGATTGAAGCTTCGAATAAAGATTTGTTTGTACTTGAAAACTGGAAAACATAAAAGTCAAGCAATGGATAAAAAAAAACTCAAGATGAGTTGAATATATTCGTAAGTATTTTCCATGAAAATTAATACAAAATAATGACTTATATATAATAAATCAATGACATTTAAATTGAATATTTTTATTTCTTATGGCTGGTTTCAATATAGAAAGAGTTCTTCTATTTGATGCATATTTTAATACAATTTTAAAGCAATAAAGTTCTAAAAAAATACTCACTAAATGTAGAAGTCATTTGTTTAGTTGTTGAGCTATGAAGGATATATTCCTTAGATATGTTTGAGCCATCTATAAAGAATCAGAAAGAAGGATTAAATAGAATAAAATATCATAAACTTTTTCAATTTGTTCTTTAAATTATTTGAGTATTTCTATCAACGTTTTTTTATAAGTATATTTTATTAAAAATCCCAGGCTTCTAAGTAAAAGTCAATGACCCTTTTATAAGCCCTCAGATAGAGGTTTTCCTCTAAGCTACTAGCCTTAAATAATAAAGCAACCCTTTATTAATAAAATAATTAATTCTTTTTTTCCTATAAATCTTTTGCTCCACTTCCAATGAGGATTAAAGACCAAACACACCCCACAGACCTCCTAATTAAATCAATGAATAAATTCCTTCGACTCCTGCACTGGTGCAGCCCCTCATCGATAAATCCATAATTTGGTGTACTTTTAACATCATATAATTACCATATAATCATGTAATTACAAGCACAT